AATTGAGCAGCACAGTAGCACCTCCCTCCCAGGATGGTTGTGAGGATCAAATGAAATAAAATTTGTAGAGCACTATATAGATGCTGGCTATTATTATTATTATTATTATTATTATTATTATTATTATTGTCATTATTATTTGTAGTATTAGTATTAATTATTGTCATTATTATTGTTGTCATCATCATCATTATTATTATTGTCATTATTATTTGTAGTATTAGTATTAATTATTATCATTATTATTGTCGTCGTCATCATCATTATTATTATTATTATTATTATTATTATTATTATCATCATCATCATCATCATTACCATTGTGGGTTGGATTGTGCCATCTGCAGTGAGAAGGTTCCAAGGGGTGAGGCTACATAGGAGGAAAACTCAGTGGCACCCTAGCCTCTTCCAGTCCAACATAATGTTACCCCATGTTGGGTATGATGATAAGACTTAAAAAAGGTGGGAGGCCCAGAGAGCCCAAGTGAAACTGGGAAAATGAATGGTCAGGCATAGTGACTGAACATGTGATTCATATCAGTGAGGGAGCTCTCTGTTGAGGAAACGCCCTACACCGATGCAGGTCACCACCTTCAGTGATGAGAGTATCCATCCAGGGCCACACGTGTCTATGGCAGGATTTGATCTCGGCTCTCTGCTCTTCCATACTGTCTTTATCCCAACCCTCCCCTGCCCAAGAAGGCTCCATGAGTCCTCATCAGAGCAAACATTCTCTGTTCTCCGCCAGACTTGGGCAGGAGAGTACCACATGAGAAGCAGTCCCCTTCTTCCCATAAATTACTGATCAGGCATGAGGTGTTCTTTGACCTTAGCCATCCTCTTTCCCATGTCTTTCCCATGGATCTCCCGTGGATCTGGGGTCCCACTTGTCATGAGGAAGACCTTTTAAAATCCTTCAATGTGGCCTCACAACCAACATGTTCATTTATGAAGCATTTATTGAGAGTCTACAAAGGAGGCCCAGGAAATACAAAGACAGAAGTGAAGCAACATCTGACCTGCTGATACTTACCTTCTCTTGGGGCAAACTAACATGAACTATCACTACAGAGAAAACTGAGTATGAAACAAAGAGAACGCAAAGTCATCTCCGGGAGTGTGAGGTTCAGGGGCGGCCTAGTCGCTGAGGGACTTGGGACCAGGCCTCCTACAGGAGGTGCCTGCAGAGCTGAGCTTGGAAGGCCACTGGGACACTGTGGGGAGGGGGGAGGAGGACAGAGAACATTCCCAGCGAGGGATGGCATGGAACATGTCATGGGTACAGTGCAGCCAGTGGGCCAGCTCGGCTAGGAAGGTCGCCCCTCTGTCCAGCCTGCCACGGAGGGCACAGCCTGTCTGGGGCCACAGCTGGTTTGCAGAAGGATGCTTGTGAGCAGCCACCATCCTGATCCTCCGGCCCTGCCCTGCACCTGTCCAGCAAAACGTCCAAGTCTGACACTTCTTGTACACTTGTAGATAGACTCTGCAGCCGGGAGGAACCCTCAGCGTGCCCATTCTCTTGGCTTTTTGTGATGAAGTTCCCAGTGAGGAGGGAGAGGGTCTTAAAATGCTCAAAGTCCCTCAGAAATGTGAGCTCTCAGCATTCATGACTGAGCTGCTTATTTGTGGCTCAACTGTGCATCATCTGTGATACCTTTCCCCAAATCATGCTGACAGATGGGTGGATGGATGGATGGATGGATGATGGATGGATGGATGGTGGATGGACATATAGATGGATGGATGGATGGATGGATGGATGGAAGGATGGATGGATGGATGGATGATGGATGGACATATAGACGGATGGATGGATGGATGGATGGATGGATGGATGGATGAACATATGGACGGATGGATGGATGGATGGGAAACAAGACTTGTCCACACCCTCAATGGGTCTAGGCTCTTGGCTAGCTGGACATTGGTACCAATCATGGCCTGTCCAAACTGGCTCATTCAGGACTGCTCTTGTCTCTTAGCTCCCCTCAGCCATCCTCAGGTAGCTGACCCAGTGATGACACTCAGGGCCTTTGTCCAGAAGGGAATGCTCAGGCCATCACCAGCCCCCCTCATTCTCACACCTCTGCCAGCCCACCATCTTTCTCAGCCCTCCATCAGTACTCACGGCCTTCCCATTGCCCTTTGAGTGACCGCCAATTTTGGAGACATGGAATATTTTATGGTTTGCAACTATGCGGCAGCAGTTGGAGAACATGGGTGTTACAAATATGGCACTGGGTTTTTAGGAGAAGCTTAGGCCCATTCAGACCTTCTAGTTCACCAGTGCATGTATGTTCTCCCCCGGGTGAGCCTTCCCTCTAACGATGCTGATCACAGCCTCTCCAGCCTTGCCCGATCTGTGGACGCCACAAGGGTTCATTCACAACACCGAAGGCCTTCTTCCCTTCCTCTTGACCTTGCCAAGATACCAGTGGAGCATGCCAGTTACCCATTAGTTGTACCCTTACTCTTCCCGCATGGCCGTCCCATCACTTCTGCCTCTCTGGGTCTCAGTTTCCTCATCTGTAAAATGGATTCCACAGTCTCTGAGGCTCCTTCCAACTCCAGATCTAGGATTCTAGAATGCTTCGCTCACACTTCGTTTACCCTAGTTCTCCTTCTTAATCCTGTTAGTAATTTGTTTCAGCCTGCCCAGGCCCACCGCATACTTCTCCATTAAAACTCACCTGGCCAAAGTCATCTTAGACAATTTTCATGGTCAAGGCTATGCATACATTGAGTTGAGGCCTAGGGAACAAAGATAAGCCATTGCTGGACCAAACATGGGTGCTAAATGGACTCGTTGCCAGCCGTCCTCCACATGCCAGGGCCGTCCTGCTTGTGCGCGCTTGGGGGCTTCACTCAAGGTTGCCCTAGCCCACTTGGGAGGTGCGTCGTGCACCGTTCATCATCCCTGCAGGCACCTTGAGTGCTCCGGGGATCCCTGGCTTTGCTGGAGTGGGTCCCCCTCAGTGTCTGGGCTGTTGCCTGGAAAGCCATCCCTCTGCCCCTGTAGTCTAGTCAGGACAAGCCTTTGGGAACTTTGCCAGGCAGATCTCAGACAATAGCCTGACACCAGCAATGTTCGCACATGGGGCAACCTGGAGCGAGTCTCTGCCTTCGACAAGCCCATAGGGTAAGAGAGAGGCAGAGATGCGTGGAGGGGCCAAGGAGGAGCTCAGCTGGCAGGCTGCTGAGGACAGGGAGGGAAGGGAAGCAGCAGCTGGTCGCTTCCTATTTTAACTCCTCATTCCTGCTAACTATGTACGAAGCTCCAACATGTCTGTGTTGCCAAAGCGACATCAAGGGCCCTCGAAATTGGCTACCCTGGGGCGAAGCTCTGGTGGCTTGGTCCTGGTTGTGCCTGAAGCTGCGGCAGCTGCGTGGGACCTGGCAGAGTCAGACTCCACAGTCCCCTGTATGGCCCTTGAGAGCCACAGCAAGCAAGCCGGCCAGCAGTGCACATCTTGAGCACAACAGCATGGACCCTCGTGGCCTGCAGGAATCTGGGGGCTAGTTCCTCTCCATCATGGCCAGCAGCTTGTCATTCCACAGCCCTGGGATGCAGAGAACGCCAAACGTCAATTCAGAATCTTGACTCTGGGACTTCTGCCTACGTGACTGTGGAGAAGCCACTTCCCCTCCCTAAGCCAGTCTCCTCATCTGTAAAATGGGGATATTCCCACGAGAACAACCTGTTTTACAGGCCTGCTATAAGGATGTCTGGGCTGGCATTCCCACTCAGCATCTGACATTTCCCACCTCCTTGCCTTTGCCCTGGCTGTCCCCCGTGCCTGGCATGTTCTCCTCCTCACCACCACCTTTTGACTCCCTCGCTTCCTCCAGGATTCACCTCAGGCACCAGCTTCTTCCCCAAAGCCCTTCTGGATGCCCTTCCCGGACCAGTCGGTCTACACTTTCCATCCATTCCTGTCTGTGCCTTTTGTCTTTCCCATTTGAATGATGAGGGTGGGGCTTTGTTCTATTAGTGTCTGGCTCACAGCGGGTGCTTCAGAGGAATTGTATTGGGGTAGCCCTGCACACAGTGAGTCCTTTGTACATGCTTGCTGATTGATTGACACACCGGGGAGATGATTATCGTTATTGTTATTATTAAATAAGAAAAAAACTTGTTTCTAAAACTTCAGGTGGGTGACCCTCTGGAGGTTTTCTCCCTTCTTCACTATCCACCTGCCTGCCATCATTGTCCAGGGCCTCGTGTGAGCCTCCTCACCTGGGAGGGTCCCAGCCCCCATTTCTCAGGACTGTCTGTGGGCTTCTGCTTTCTTTCCATCTGCTCCCCCCCCACCCCTTTCTTTTGCGTCATGGACCCCTTTGGAAGTCAGTCTGGTGAACCCTGCTCAGAATCCTGTTTTTAAATGAACAAAATAAAATACATAGGATTACAAGGGACGCCAAATGCATTGAAATAAGGGTTATAAGAAATAGATATAAAAAAAAAAGTTGTCAGGCCCCAGGTTAGGAAGGCCCAAGGTACCCAGCCCAGAAGTGACTCCCAGATAAAGAAAGCGTGCCTCATTGTGATCTCCCCTCGTCACCGCCCTTTTGTCGTCAGGGTGCTGCTGACTCCAGACATTAATCATCCATCATGGCCCACGCGTGTACGGGCCCATGTGTGCACATTGACACTGAGCACAGCGATTAGTGCCATTAATTTTGATTTAGCTGCCACGGGACGGATGCCCAAGCCAGGGGAGCTGTTTTCCCTGTTGCTGCAGCTGGCTCTGGCCCAGAGACTCTCACATTCCCCGGCCTCCTCCCGTTGTCTGTCTCCCCTGCACGTTGCCTGAGACACTGAGTGTGTGCGGGTGTTTGGGTTCAGATCTCAGCGGCCATAGTTGTCCAGTCTAGTGTTTTGCCTGGGCCCCCACGCGGCTCGCCTTGAAGTCCAAGTCCCTTTGATGCCAGAGGCCTGGCAGCGGGGGCCACGGGCACAGGAAAGCTCATCTCTTCATCCCCTCCACTCTGTGTTTCAGAACAAGAAGAAAACCTTGAGTTTATCATTGTGTCCCTCACCGGCCAGACGTGGCACTTTGAAGCCACCGCGTATGAAGAGCGAGACGCGTGGGTACAAGCCATCGAGAGTCAGATCCTGGCCAGTTTACAGTCTTGTGAAAGCAGCAAGAACAAGGTAAGACCCACAGTGAGCCGCCTGCTAGAATCAAAATCCACAGTAAAACAAAGGCGGAGAAAAAAGTCCATCCGCTTGGCAAGGCCCAATTATTCTTCCGGGACCAGAAGCTAATGAGTAATTGTAAGCCTTAAAAAAATATTCATGCCTCCAGAATCAGTCCCGGGGAGTCAGGGATTGAATTGTGGTCCCCGCTGTTGGATTTTTTCCTACTCTGTGGGAACTGTCCATTTTCAATATTTCTGGCTCAAAGAACCCCAGCCACGAAGGCTTGGTTGTTAATGGTAAATAAATGACCCCCTTGCCTACTTCTGTTTCCAAACCCACTCTCAATTTGTCTCTATTTTAGGCAGACTCCACCCAGAAGAAAGGCCTAATGGGCTCACCCATCCCCAGGTCTGCCCCCCTTTCTCAGGAAGGGCCACGTGTTACCGGACAGAAAGCACTAGATCACCCATTTAATGATGACCCACACTCTCGCTGGTCCCATGAGAGTGAGGTCAGCAGATGGGAAACTACAATCAGTCATAAGGTTTAATGCTTCTCAAGCCAACACACATTATAAAGTACCTACTGTGTGCTGAGCACTGTGGTGGACAGTAGAGATGAAAGGAAAAAAAAAACTGAAAAAGCAGCTCCTGCCCTCAGGAGGTTATACTCCATTGAGGACGTGGAAACATGTAGCTAATTATAGGAAGCAAGAGCTCTAACAAGAAGGAAGGAAGGGGAAGGGAAAGGCATTTATATGATGCCTACTATGTGGCAGGCACTGGGCTAAGCACTTTTGCAACTATTAGCCCATTTGATCAACCACCAGGATCTGGGAATTTGTGCATTGATTCATTCAGCAAGGATTAGTGGCATCCTGATCTTATCTTAGGTGTCCCAGGGTATCCAGCATGTACGCAGACTCATAAACACAAGATAATTTGAACAAAACCAAGAACATTCCCAAGTGTAGGGAACTGGTTCAGTAGTTCATTCAGCAAGCAATTATTAGGCACCAACTACATTCGAGGCATGGGAAGGGTCTTATACAGGCAGAACTTGAATGAGTGCTTCCTCCCATCGATAGAAGATGGTGATGGATGTTTGGGTCAGCAGTGTTCTGAACCATTGGCAGGAATCCTCCGTTCTTTAGTCAGAAGAGGGATGCTGACCCATGCCTCCCCAGATGCATGCCAGATTAGCCCATGTCCTTTAAAAGGGATCCAGGGCTGCTTCCACATCTGGCAACCAAACCTCATTGATCGCCTTCTCCAGGTCCCAAACAGCTGCTCTTGTTCTCCCAAGCCAACGCGGCTTGGGGTCCTGGGGAGCATGTGGATTTTTCAGACCATGCCTAGCCAGAAACAAAGAAAAAAGATGTTGTCCGCAGACCCATCGTCTCCTGGTGCATCCATTTAAAGAAACTTGTGCCCGTGATTTATGTGTTGCTTTGTCATTAGGTAGAGACCCTCTCTTTCAGAAAGATGGAGTGGCTTCCTTTATTACCTCTTTAACCAGGGTAAACCAGACCACAGGAATGATTATCCTCATGTAATTTGCTTCTCTTTTTTTAACCATTTTATATTCAAGGTGGAGAAAATCACTGCTCTTTATTTCCATGTGATTTGCTTTTACTAAGTCACGTTATGCGGGCAATCATGAAAATGAGGCCAAAAAACAAGTGCGGGCAATTTTCATTTGTCCACGCTCCTGGAAGGAAGGGGCAGGGCTGATAATGGAGAATCCACAAACCTCCAGTGCTTTGGTTGGGGAGGGTGGTGGTATGTTCATATGTGACGCCCTTGACTGAGGTCATGGAAATTCCCAATGCTTCCATCAAATCAAGGCTTGACCCTGGAGGAGGTGGGAAGGCATCTACTTGTGCAGCCCACACTTGGGCTATATGCCTCCACCTTCCCCAATGCATGCTGCTGATGGACAGCATCGTCCCTCAGTCCAGTCTTTCACTCAGTGGGTTGGTTATCAGGGTTGCTGTTGCCCTGGGGAAGGGGACAGGTGTGCTCATTAAATGTCCCTGACTGAAAGGAGCCCCCTATCTCTATAGATTGTGGTGTCCCAGCCTCTGGTAGATGTTCTCCCCAAGGTTTCAAGGAGCTTATCAAAGGAATATGGAGAGTATGAAATAACTCTAGTCTGCTGCAAAAAATAATCAGTTTCTTTATTATTTCTTATGTACATGTTAAATTTTAGATTTCTAATTTCTTTTCATATTAAGTATGAGCTATAAAAAAGAAGTTTTACCAAAAGCCAAAGGATATAAACCCCAACGAGTTGAGAGCTACCATTTGGATTATTGAATCTCAGAGTAGGATTTCAAGTTGTAAATAAGACCAGAACAACCTCCAAAAACTCATGGCACACACCAAAGGAAGAAGGGCTGTGTTGGGAGGCAGAATGCCAGGGTCAGAGCCTCCTTCTGCCACCGTCAATCTGGCTGTGCATGAGTCACTTTCTCTTCTTGAAATGAGGGGAGTCAGACTGTGTGGCTTCTCAGGCCCCACACAGTGCTCAGCCAATGAGCCCATGGGCTTCAGCCATCTGTGGATAACTGAGAAGCGCCCATGGTCCTGATACAGCCCTGTCTCCTACGGGGAAACCTAAGTATGAGAATTAAACACTGCAAATACTTAGGGACCCCGAAGGGGGAAACATCCCCATCATACAAATGAAACATGGACAGCTGCAGAAGGGAGGAATCATTTTAAAGAGGGGACAGTAGCCCTTGTACATGAAAATCTGGGGTTCCCCCCAAAACATCAACGAAATCAATTTTGTGGCCTCCATGTTAAGCCTTGTTTCAGGAATCCCTCCTCCAACCCTCCCTCACCCCACCCAACCCCCATTCATAATCATTGTTCAGGAATTTGTGACTGTGGCAGCTCCGTCCCCCTTGAAATGAGGAGTGGGTCTCCAAGGAATGACGTTTCAGAGTTAGAAGGGAGGTCACCCACAGGGCAGCCTAGAGGGACTCTGGCTACAGCCCCTGATTAAGCTTCTGACCCATGGATTAGGAGCAGATTCTGGCCCCAGCCTTTAATCATACCCACCTGCCCATATGGGCACACAGTGGTATTTAAAAAAAAAACCAAGATACAGAACGAAAGCCCATTGGTGAATTATGTTGCAAATCATGTTCTGGTTCCTCTTTGTGGTTAGCCTCCATTTCATTCACAAGGGACACCCCCTTCTCTCCTTTTGCCATCTTCACAGTTGGCTTGTGTCCTTTTCAGCACATGGCCTTGTCTCAGAAGTCACCGTCATGGGCATCTTCCCCAGGTTGGAGGGTCCTAGGAGAGAAATTGCATCTGTCCCATGGGGTCTGCATTGGTGGGGATCTTCTCCTTATCACCAGAATTGAAAGCTGCATCTTGCAAGCTGACTCCATGTTCTGACTCCATGTCTCTTTCTTTCACGCCGCCAGTCCCGCCTGACGAGCCAGAACGAGGCGATGGCCCTGCAGTCGATAAGGAACATCCGGGGGAATTCACAGTGTGTGGACTGTGAGGCTCAAAGTACGTATGACCACCCCTACCCTGAGAAGGGTATGCTTGGCTTTCACCAGCTTGGGTTACCTTGGACGGCTGGGAGGGAGGGTGATCCTTTATCTGAGTTAATAGAGAGTTGTCCTAAGGACCATACCTCAACGACCAATCCTCCAAACAACACCTGAGGCAGCTTTTCATTTTATTCTGATTGAAGTGTTCTTTATGTGAAAGGCACAGTGGGTATGGAGCTGGCCTCAGAATCAGGTCACCCTGTGTTTGCACATCTGTGAAACATAGTGACTGTGTGACCCTGAACAAGTCCCCTGACTTCTTAGGGCTCTCAGAGCTCTTTGAGACCATAAGTTGCAGAGAAGGTGCCAACTGGCATTGGTAGAGGGAATTTCCCCACCAGGAGATCACAGGTCTTGTCCAGGTCCCCACCCCCATGTGTACATGTGGCAGATAGCCTGGCCCAGAGGGCAGAGCGGGAGGGCCATTTGAAGTCAAAAAGACCTGAGCTTGGTTCTCAGCACCAAACCTAGGCAAATCCCTTCACCACTCTGCCTCAGATCCTTCATCTGCAAAATGGGTGCACTGTCAGCACCTCCATAAGCACCACCCTCAAGGAACTCACATTAGGGCAGGCCTTGGAGGAAGACGTGGGACTGGGAGACACTGGACAAGTCACACAGGGCAGAGGAAGTGACAAAGCCAGCATAGGATGAACCCAGGTTCTTTGAGGCCAAATTCAGTCCTTTTTCATCAGCTCTTATTGACAGAGAATAGCTCTAAGCCCATCGGTGTGGAGATCTTACAAATCTGGCACGTTTCCACATACCTCTCCTCCCCCACCACAGATAAGTAACCTGATGCCCAGAGATCTCAAGCTCCTTCCCCACAGCCAAGGCAGACAGTGAGCACCAGAGCTGGAGAGTCCGTGCTAGCCCCTCTTCAGAGCCGACATCTCCTTCTTGCGTCCCCAGACATACCAGGCCTTGTTAATCCCATCTCCAGATTCCTAGAGCGGGCCTCGGCCATCCATCCGCCTCCACAAGATCTCATGTATCCACTCTCCCTGGGAGCGCCATCGTTTCTCCCCTGGACTATGACATTAAGGCCTGCCTCTAGCCTCTTCCCTGCCCAGTCCATCCTTCTTGCTGCCGCCTAAGTAAGCTCCCTCATTTCATGGTCTAAAGACATCCCTGAGGCCTGTTCATTTCCTGTTGACTACAGTACGGACCTCTGAACCTGGCACTGGGGAGCCAGCCAACGTCCCCCTCCTGCTCCGTAATTCACATCCACACCACAGGCCAACAGAGCTTTGCAGGTGCTCCCTGTCCCCATTCCCCATCCTGCCTGACTGGACGGCCCCCTGGCCCCACTCACATCCCGCTTTCTCCTATGTCCGTGACTCTGCATGGCCGCCGTCCGTGCCTTGAACAATCTACCTTTTCTCTCCGTGCCTTGATTTCTTCGAGGCCTGCCTCAGCTCCTGCCTCTTCTGTGAAGCCTGTGCTGATTTCGCTGGCTGAAGGCCATCTTTCCCTTCTTAACTTTCCAGTAGCGATTTGTCAGGATCCCTCCCTGGCATTAACGTGATTTATTGTTGTTCAGTCGTTTCAGTGGTGGCCAATTCTCTGTGACCCCCTTTGGGGTCTTCTTGGCCAAGAAACTGGAGCCGTTTGCCATTTCCTTCTCCAGCTCATTTGACAGAGGAGGAAGTAGGGCAAACAGGGCTAAGTGACTTGCTCAAGGTCACACAGCTCCTAAGTGTCTGAGGCCGGATTTGAACTCAGAAAGATGAGTCTTCCTGATTCCCAGCCTGGCACTCTGTGCACTATGGTGCCCCCTAGAGCAGTGTTAATTAGCACTACCATGATGATTTTAGGTAAATACAGTCTTTGAGCCAGAAGTGTCTTCACAAGCTCAGATGCAACTTGTAGTGACCCTCAATCCCCTCTCCAGCAGCCCTGACCTGTGGCCCCCCCAGCCTCTGTCAAAATCTCTTCCCCAGCCTCCCGTTCTGCCCTGGACCAGCCACCAGCCATAGGGAAGTTTGCCCTATCTACCGGGTTCCCCTAAAATCTAGACCATTCCCATTGGACAAATGCCCCTTGGGAATCTGCTGCCCTCAGGGCCGAGCAGAAGGCTCCTCCCTCTCCTCCATCACAGCCCTGCAGACAGCACGCCTGTGTTTCCCTATCCCTTCCCAGTCTTCCCATCTCTGGGGCATCCTCAGTTCTTTCTGTGTTCTCTGTGTGCTCCCACAGCCCAGTGCCCCCCACCCAAACTTGACCCTAGACAAGTCAGATAACCTCTCTAAGCCTCAGGCAACCCTCACCATCTTCTCTGCTAAATGGGCATCTGCGTTGGTAGAGGGAGGTTGGACAGGGATGAAATCACAGACCCTGGACCTGTTTCGGGATAATTGCCTTCTCAAATAGCATGTATGTCTGGCCTCACCAGAAACCCTATAATGCTCCTCTCCCATCTCCTAAAATCCTGGATTTCCTTCGAGGCTTAGCCCAAGCGCCACCTTCTATGTGAGTTCTTTCTTCATCCTCCAACTGCTCGTCCCTTCCTCTGCTTCCCCCCAAAAAAAAATTTACTTCCTACTTCTTTTGCGTATATGTATACGTACCTATTGTCTCCTCCAGTAGAATATAAGCTTTCTGAAGGTAGGGACTGTTTTATTTTGTGTCTTTATATCCCTAGCACCTAGCCAGTGCCTGGCACAAAATAAGTATGTAGTAAATGTCAATTGATTGACTGATTGAAAGATTTGAGTTAGAGTTAGGGAATCTATCTTTCTTTACAATCATTTCCATTATTGATCTACCACATTTTGGACCTTTGATATTCTAAAGGAAGGAAAGGAAATTTAGTAGTTAGCGATCAGTCAGTCTGTAAGCATTTATCAAGTGCCTACTGTATGCCAGGAACCAGGCTAGGTACTGGGAATACAAATACAGTGAATGAAAGAATCCCTGTTCACAGGTGCCAGGCACAGTGCCAAGTTGCGGGGCTGACGTAGTCCTCACCCCCACAGTTTGCCATTCTCCTAGCATTTCTGCCGCACGTTAAGGTTTGCCAGTGACAGTGTTTTACCTGTGTTTTGTTTGTGTGTCTGATTTCTGTGTCATTGTACAGACCCAAACTGGGCCAGTTTGAATTTGGGTGCCCTCATGTGCATCGAGTGCTCAGGGATACACCGGAATCTTGGCACGCACCTTTCCCGCGTCCGGTCGCTAGACCTCGATGACTGGCCCATTGAACTCATCAAGGTCATGTCCTCCATTGGTAACGAGTTGGCGAACAGCGTCTGGGAAGAGAGCTGCCAGGGACACATGAAGCCCTCGCTGGACTCCACCAGGTAAGCCGTGTTGGAAGATTGACGGCTGCTAGTTGTTTGGGGGGCCCAGAGGTGCACCGGGTAATTGGAATCTGCTTTCCTGAAGACCCTGATGACTTCAGCCTGAAGGCCGGTAGGATAATCCTGGGATTAGGTGCTCAAAGCATGATCTCAAGTGGAGAATCCTAACTCCTTCATTTTTCAAATTCTGTGTTTAGGTTTTGGGGGCTCTCCCTCCCTCCTGCAGTCTGTTCTCCAGACTCTGAATACACTAGTGAAATTCCGCCTAAGTTTTGAGTGGGCAACATTTCTGAGCCTTTTATGTGACTCAATTAATTCCTGACTTGTTACGTTAACATCTCATACTCCCAGCCATCTATGCAGTTTCTTTTTGAGAATAAATGAATTTATAGCTGCAAAATGTTTTATTTAATCAATTGTACATTTAATCAAGCAGCCCTGGCTTGGCATGTGATAAATCCTCTTCAGGACTGATTATTATCGAGTATGAGAGCAGGCTTTGTTTTTAAGCCACTCATTCCATCTCTTCCTTTTCATTAATGACTGTGATAAACCTCTTTCGAGTGGAATCGGTCATAAAGACATGATGCTTCTAAAAGATGCTACTTCGGAATTGCTGTGAGATGGGCAGTTTCAACTCGTTTGAACCCTCTGGTTTTTCCATAAATGTCACCTTCCCAAGGACATCTCCAGCAGGGAAGTGCTGTGAGGTAGGGGTCCTGAGCGATAGGCAGCAGGTACAAAGAGAATTGTGTCTCTTTTCAAGGCTGCTGTTCTGGATGCAGGGGAGAAAAAGGGAGAAAGGGCTGCCCATCATTCCATCCCCTTCCCCCCTCCTAGTCACAAGGTGATCTGAGGGGCAGGAGATGGGGATCAGCTCCAGCCGCTTGGTTCCCCTGGTTTGTTGATTGACAACCAGATCTCGCATGGAGCTGTGCAGCAAGGCCTGACTGCACCTCCCACAAGGGAAAAGAAAGTGGCATCTCCCGGTGACTCCCCAGCAATGACCACGCAGCCAGACAGGGCAGACAGCGTTTTGGCTGCATGAAAGGATGAGTTTTTGGTGCCAGCTGGTTCCACTTTAGACACAAAGTTCCAAGAGCTCTGTACAGCAAGGAGGTTATTCTGTGGGGAATTAGCTTGACATGGGCGGGCCCAAAGTGCCCTTCATTAGGCACCTTCTTCCTGTCCTGACTGAGCAGCTCTAGAGAATGCCTGGGACTAGACAAGCCGAGTGGAAAGTGTGCCGATAGGTCACCAGGAACAGGAGCGAGGAATTGGACGAGGAAGGATATTGGTGTTCCTGGGGAACTCACAGGGCTGGTCACCAGCTTGGAGTACTTTGAGAAGCGCCTTTCTTTGGTCAAGACCATTCTCGCCTTCTCTCCCTTCTCCCTGTGTGATACTTATTCCCAGTGTGGGTTTTCCCGAGTCATTCCTTTGTTTATATTTCCCACGTGTGCACTTACATAAAATATGTGAATATATGTGCCTCCCTAGTTGCCCTGTTTTGTATCACCTATTTATAATTTATAGAGAGAGAAAGCAAAGACACAGCTTTACCAGCAATGTAGTTAGGCTTTCTGTTAGCTGTGTGGGCCTTCATGAACCTTAAATCTGTCCGAAATTACGGCTTTTAAAATCAGTAGGAATGGTAACATTAGTAATTGAGGTAAGAGGTATCATGGCTCAAGTGGATAGACAGAGGGCCAGCCTTGGAGGAGGGGAGAGCCAGGGTCGAGGTGTGCCTCTATGTGACCCTTGACATCTCAGGCAACTCTGTAAGACCAGCAGTCTCCAAACTTTGTTGTCATGCACCCATAAATCAAAAATAAATAAAATGAATGAGGACCCAAGTAATCTGGGGGAGAAAGGATGGGTTTGCTAGGGGCAATAAGGAGATGTTTTTCAATGTCACTTGCTCAGGTTCTGCTATGAGTGTCCAGGTCACAAGTTATATGTAACCTAATGGTCACGACTGCCCTGAGGGTTCTGCTGGGGGCAAAAGAGGACAGGTCAGGAGTTTGCATTGCTTGGGGTTATGCATAGGAATGCAGCAGGGATGAGGGTATTTGGGCTACAGCATCTGGCCCCAACATTGTCTCCTTGGGAGAATGAGATGAGACCCATCCTCTCACCTTCCAATTGGTTGGTCACACCTTGGGTGCATGCCGCAGCCCCAGTCTACACTGGTGAAGGGACATTCCATGCCAGTAGTTGCCAACTCTTTTGAAATCATAGGTCTGGACTGATAACTCATTGTTGTAGTAATGTCCAAGTACTACAGTGGCTCTGCGATCTCAATACGGGTCATCTTGCCTGTGATACAGATAGCAAGCCCTCCATGTTTCCCTGTCCTACCCTGGTGGCTGCCCTTCTAAGAGTAGATCATAAGAAGGCCATCTGAAGTGCTGGATCCTTCATTTCCCTTGACTTCCTGGCATACCCGTGGAGTAAACGGGCTGGCTGGCCACTGGTTATTCCTTGCTCGTGTCACATGACCAATCCCAATGGCAAACATCTCCATGAAACAAAGAGCTATCATTTTACAACAGTATTCTCATAGTACCACGTGGTAGTCTCTAAAGAATTGAAAATAACTGTCACCCACAGAGCAATGGAAGAACCACAACCATGTTGTAACACATTACAAAAAAAGTCCTCTCAAATCTGCAGTGGGTCCATGTGCGCTTATTGATTTGAACAGCCCCTGTAACAGTGAGTTCCAGCTGTGCAACATCATTTTTCTCTGTGTCTTCCTCTGAATTTGGCAAGCCACTCAACTGTCCAGAGGCCTTACTTGCTTTCTTCTGACATTGGTGAGGATGGCAGTGACTCAGTTGGGTGGTCCACTGTTCCTTGCTCCCACCATGTAACTCCCCCATCTTCCCCCATCTTTTCTTCCATTGTTATGAGTGATAATAATGTTTCTTTCTGGACTCCATCAAAAGAAATGAGCACAAATTAATTATCATTATAAAGATAACGCAAATGTAATAATTATAGAGGTCCTATAGAGAGAGTGTGATGCTTAGAGTCAAGAAAAGCCTGGGTTCAAATCTTATTCCTTATTTGGGCAAATGACTTACCCTCACTCAGCCCCAGGCAACTCCCTAAAGTTTATCTAGTAAGTCACAGCTGGGTCTGTTCAGTACAGCACACATTAGATGGCCTTCTTGTGACCTACTCTTAGAAGGGCAGCGACAAAAGCAGTACAGAGAAACATGGAGGGCTTGCTATCAGTATCCGAGGTGAGATGACCCATACTGAAATCACAGAGCCACTGCAGTATTTGGACATCACGATGACAATGAGTTATCAGTCCAGACCTATGATTTTTTAAATGTTGGTAACTATTGGCGTGGAATGTCCCTTCACCATTATAGATTGGCAACTCTTCTAGAAAATGACAGGTTTGTCTGGAGCCTAGCGGATGTTTATGAAAGCCACGAGAGATAAATCTGGAAAATGGGAGCCCAACTGAGGGGTTTGAACATTCCTTTGTCGGTAATGGGGAGCCACTGAAGATGCTTGGTCATGCCCGTAGGATAAGAAGTGCTGTCAGGCAGAGTGGGATCAAGGCTAGGTCAAAGGGAGGAGAGACTAGAAATGAGGAGACCCTTTTAAAAGCTATTGCAGCATCACTGAGCCTATGGAGGCAAATGAAGCCCAAAACTCTGTAAGGACTCACTCAGATCTAGCAAGATACACATTAAGTCCCCTGTACCTTTGCCTCATTAAGATGCACAAACCAGAAAGCGTGGGCTCAAATTTCAGGGTAGAATTCTTTTTCTTGACCCTGGGCTTGCAGGACAGTCTTAGGATGCTAGGAGAAGCAGCTGTGAGTCGATTTAATGATTACATTAAAGCCCACACTGAAAAGGCACTTCACAATTTGTGGTCTGTCTCTTGCCCTCTTTCCCAAATGATGACGGAGTCCACTTAGCCAGATGTTCCCCCAGGGAGCCCCGCCCATTCCATCTCATTAAGAATTGTGTCTGAGACTGAGGCACCCCATTGGAGCAGCCCCTCCCCCATCGAGTCTGAACTAGGATGCAGAGAAGGTGCAGAGGGACCCACTGGGCGCCCAGAACCCAAACAGAGACCGTACTGTCCCATAAACACCGGGTGCTCCAAAGAGCTGTCCCACCTTCAGATTGTGGACCGAATGGGCCTTGATTAGGTCAGCTCTCGAAAGCTTATAATTGCTTCCAGCGATTATCGGCCGCCCTGAGAACTGGCGTCCCAACTTGGAGAGCATTGTGACAAATTAAAGCTGACTGCTGCTCAAGGAGTATTGACTTCCCATTCTAAACAGGGGAATCATTAGTCAAGAAAAGCATCTTTTAATTACTCCCAGGAAATGGGGGTGGGGGCAGGGAGAACATCTTTCAGCATGGATCTCGTAACAACTGCCATTTCTTTTCGTCGCATTCAATATGAAATTTATTGTCCAGGGGGAGGGAGACCATGCCCTCCATGCTTCCATCCCTCCCTTTGTAATGTCAGTTTAATTTGGAGTGAGAAGTCAAATTAGGGTAGATCAATGTTACAACAATTAACTGGGTCTGGAGCAAAATCAGAATTTTCCTCTCTAATTGCTATCAATACCATTTAAGCACACACTTAAAATATCGATTTAAGATGGCGAGGCGAAAGTGGTATGTGGATAGCAATGGGGGGCAGAATTGACTGGACCTTTGAGGGAAGAGGAAAGGCATTTTCTGTCTTTGGCTTCAGGAAACCCTGGCCTTCAACAAGCAGGAGGAATAAGTAATGGAAAGTTCTCAGGCAGAAGGGCCTGGTGGAAGGAGTTTTGAACCTTGGAATCCAGAGAGCTGGGTTCAGGTTGCCATTGTTTCCTTAGCTACATCACCTTACGGAAGTCAGCACAGTCAGAGCCAGAAAGGACCTCCTGAAGAGGCCATTGCATTTATTTATATGCACTTATATGTGTGCAGAGGCAGCTAGGTGGGACAATGGATAGAGTGCCTAGGCTG